CATGAGGAGCCTTCATGCTCAAACAGAGCAAGAATACAGTCGTTCTACTCGGAAAATGAGAGCAAGATTCTCCTCCCAACAGCAATAGTTCCAGTTGAGCACAAGGGCGAGATCTTCAAACTCAGAGCTCTCATAGATCAGGGTTCGGGACGAACCTTTATTTCCTCCAAAGCCCAAAATAAACTAAGGCTACCATACGAAGCTTCTAACTTTGAAATTTCTGGCATGGGAGGAAGAGTTGTTCAGACTTCGAACAAACTATGCAATCTCATCTTAGCCTCCGCAGATTTGACCACGAAAATAAAGGCTCAAGCAATAGTCCTGCCACAGTTGACGAAAATGCTTCCCAAATTCCAGCCAACTCTCGAACAACGAGAAAAATGGTCTCACCTCCAGCTAGCAGATACTAACTGCCACTCTCCGTCCCAAATTGATCTGGTCATTGGCAGTGACCTCATTCCTGAAATAATGCTGGAAGGCATTGAAAAAATTTCCAAAAATTTGCTTGCACAAAACACCATATTCGGCTGGATCTTAAGTGGTCAGTTTCCCGAAAAAATAGCCTGTTTCTCCACTCAAGCTGCACCGATCTCCAATGAGGTTTTAGATTCCCAGCTGCGAAAGTTTTGGGAGCTAGAAGAGGTTCCGAAACCCAAGCTCACTTTGCCTGATGATGAAAACTGTGAAAAATTTTATCAGTCCACCACCACACGAGCAGCGGATGGTCGTTATGTAGTCAGACTGCCCTTTAAGCCAAGCTTCCCAGACCCTATCTCCCTTGGCCCGTCTCGCACCCCCGCCCTCCAACAGTGCCTGAGCATGGAAAGAAATTTGCTCAGAAAAGGCGATCTAAAATCACTTTACGAAAATGTATTAAACGAATATCTCACCCTCAACCATATGGAAGAAACAACTTCCCACGAGATATCTTCTCAAGGCAAATATTGGTCGTTCTACCTCCCACATCACGCGGTTATAAAACCCGAAAAAAGAACGACCAAAGTCCGAGTCGTCTTCAATGCTTCGAAGAAATCGGGGTCCGGACATTCCCTGAACGATGTTCTTTACACCGGACCAACCCTCCAGCCCGACTTGATGTTATTGATCCTCAAGTGGCGTATGTATCGATTTGTCTTCAACGGCGATGTCGAAAAAATGTATCGACAGATACTGCTACACAAAGACGACCAAGACTATCAACGAATCGTATTTCGACCATCTACAAATAGCCAAATACAAGATTATAAGTTGAAAACTGTCACGTTTGGTTTGAATTGCGCACCCTACCTCGCCATACGTACCCTTCACCAGCTTGCAGATGACGTGCAAACCACGTACCCCTTAGCGGTGCCCATATTAAACAATGAAACGTACGTTGATGATATACTTTCCGGTGGTCATGATCTCCCTTCAGCCGAAGAATCCCTCTCTCAAGTCATCCAAGCGCTCAATTCGGCAGGCTTCCCACTTAAAAAGATTACAGCCAACCACCCTGAAATTTTGAAAAACATCAACAAAGACGACCTGCTTGACACAAACTTCCTAGAATTTGAAACAACAAGCACCACTAAAACGCTCGGGATTCAGTGGAACGCTCTAACCGACACGTTTTCGTACACCGTTGATTCCATCCCAGCGTCATCCGCCAGTACAAAACGACAAATCCTCTCGGCAGTTGCCAAATTGTTTGACCCCGCAGGATGGCTTACGCCCATAATGATCCAAGCCAAAATCCTGCTACAAGAACTATGGCTGGACGGAACTGACTGGGATGACCAGGTCAAGCCCCTTCGTCTGACGAAATGGATGCAATTTGCAACCAATCTCCAAGCCATTTCTAGCATCCAAATATCCCGATGGGTAGATTTTGTCCCAGCCGACCAAGTCGAGCTACATGGCTTCTGCGACGCTTCCGAGAAAGCATACTGCGCTAACATATATGTGCGAACCACGAATGGTTGAATTGTGCGGCGCCCTTCTCCTAGCGAAGCTGGTCGCCGTAGTGCAGTCTCAACTCGACCTATCTAAGAGGAAACTGACACTATGGTCTGACTCCGAGATCGTCTTGGCATGGCTAGAAAAACCCCCTCATTCATGGAAGACCTTCGTTTCCAATCGCACGGCACAAATTTTAGATCTCGTCGGAAACGCCACCTGGCGGCATGTGGGCAGCAGAGACAACCCCGCAGATCTGGGCACCAGAGGATGCAGACCCCTGGACTTAGCGGCCTCTTCGCTTTGGTGGCATGGACCGGAATGGCTATTAAGCCCACCCGAAGCCTGGCCAAAACCGGCCACCCGAAATATCTCCCCTCCAGAATTGCGCCGAGTCGAGGCATTACATGCCACAGAGGAAGATCACGATATCCTTGATCGCTTCTCCTCGTTTCCCCGCGCACTTAGAGTTATGGCGTATGTTTTTAAATTTATACAGTGTCTTCGAGACCGAGTCAGACAGGTTAGGTCAAATAATCCCATCTCTCTCTCCCATGATGACCTCCGTAATAGCAAATACAGGCTCCTAGCTTTGACCCAATCTCGCTACTTTCCTCGGGAAAGGCCTGTTTAGCAAACTCCAAACCCATAGATAAACGGAGTCCTCTGCTTCCCCTCAACCCGTCTTTAGATAAAACCGAGTTGCTCCGCGTGAATGGTCGATTAGCTCACGCCACTTTGAGCTATAATGAAAGACATCCCATCATTATTCCTGAAAAATCCCGGTTCGCCATCCTATTCACCCGCTTTCTGCACGAACTGCTCCTCCATGCAGAAACTCGTCTCATGCAGCAAGTCATAAGGCAGGAATTTTATATCCCTCGGCTTAAGCCCCTCATAAAAAAATGCATCTTCCAATGTAAAAGTTGCACGGTCCACAAGCAGCAAACGCGATCGCAAATAATGGCGGCCCTCCCCTCGGAACGATGCACGTATGCTCCGCCCTTTACTATTACGGGCGTAGATTTTGCTGGACCTTTCCAGATAAAGGCCTCAATGCTAAGATCGCACACGTTGGTGAAGGGCTATGTGGCTGTTTTTGTATGTTTCACTACAAAAGCAGTCCACCTCGAGCTGTGTTCCGATCTGACCACTGCCGGATTTCTCGCTGCGTTTGCTCGCTTCGTCGGACGACGGGGTTATCCCGCTAAGATGATGAGCGACAATGGCAAAACCTTTGTCGGGGCCAAACGAGCAACCGAAAAGGAGTTCATCGAATTTCTGAAGGAGGTATCTCAAGACGTCATCCAGAAATACTCACCTCAAGGCATCAACTGGGAATTTATTCCGCCAGGAGCCCCCCATATGGGCGGTTTGTGGGAGTCCGCAGTCAAAAGTTTCAAAATGCATCTCAAAAGGACTGCTGGACCCAGCAAATTCACATTTGAAGAGTTCACCACCCTGTTAGTCAGAATAGAGGCCGTATTAAACTCCCGGCCAATCTCTGCTCTATCCCAAGACCCCACAGACTTCACAGCGCTTACGCCTGGCCACTTTTTACGAGGCGCCCCCCTCTTAGCACTCCCTGAAGTCGACCACAGCCATCTGTCCCTCCTTAATAGGTGGGAAAAAGTGAAGGTGTTACATCACGAGTTTAGTCGAAGGTGGAAAGAGGATTATATCAAGGATTTACAGAAGAGATATAGATGGAAAAATACCCAGGCAGAACCGAAAGTCGGTGACTGCGTTCTTATTGTTGACAATACTTTACCTCCCACTGAATGGCGTCTAGGCCGCATCGAAAGGTCACATCCCGGCAAAGACGGACATGTTCGAGTTGTCGATATACGCACTCAATCTGGCACCCTTACTCGCCCCATAGTCAAAATATGCCCGTTACCAATTGGTGACGCCCCCCTCTGATTTCTCCAAAGTAGCACTTGTTAAAGCCTTTAAGCACTTTCATGATAACAGATTCTCTTATCTCAAATGAATTTAAATCTCTGTGTATCTGAATAAAATATTCTAATCTCACGTTTCTTCAACTGTCTTGTAGACTCCCCACTGAAAATCGTATTTCACCGGCTTACTTACAGATGGAGAACGGCAACTCTAATGGCGTCCCGAAACCTGCGCCACGAAGCAACAATGGTGGCCCGACACTTACACCGCGCAGTAGCAGCAGCATTCCTGCACCCAAACCGCGAGCTAGCAGCGGTGGTCCAACCCCGGCACCCCGTATTGTACAAAAACCGCAACCAGAGGCCATGGTTGTTGATTCGGTTCCGGACACTCAGCCCGACGACGAAGGAGCGGACTATCAGCGATGCCGTTTGTGCGCACGTCATCATGCCCTGCGCGTATGCCACGTATTTCGCGCAATGCAGCCAGCGCAACGCTATCTGATCGCTCGTGCACACCACTTCTGTACCAACTGTCTTGCGCTGTCACATCACAGCAGTGAATGTCCCTCCGCTGGCGTATGCAAGCTTTGCGCCCAACGCCATCACACCCTTCTTCACCGCAAGAACACCTCCCAAGCACATCCACCGCCACGTTCAGCTCCAGCTTCAGCGCCACGCTCAACATCGGCTCGACGCTCAATCTCGGCACCATCCAAATCCGCATCCTACCGCTTGCGCCGACCGCCCCGCAATGGAGTCACCTCCAACGCATATCAGCAGCCTCAAAAATTCCGGCACCCAAAGAAGGTTCGTCATACCGCACGTATAGTGCGTAACATAGCACCTCGGGGCAGGGCGACACGAAGTCTGGTTAAGGAGGCGATCCGAAAGCTACGGGAGTTGGAGAGTAGTCTATCCGCTTAACGCGTCTAGGGGCGGCAGGATAGTTAAACGAGTTAAGAATGTCGTTTAACACAACGCAAGAATGCACCTTTCACAAAATTGAATTCCTTAAAATTGTAATTTGGCACAACGCAAAAGTGCACTATGTATGACATTGA